GAGGAGATCAGGTCCCTGACCTGACCTGGGAGAGGAGATCAGGTCCCTGACCTGACCTGGGAGAGGAGATCAGGTCAGGATTTATTAGTAATCAACATGCTGAATTACTTACTTTCGAACTATTCATTCAACCGAATTTTGAACTGACTTTTGAACTGACTTTCGAACTGATCGATGAACTGACCGCCAAAATCAGGTCCTAATACGCATGGACCACCTGAATAGACGCTAGTCAAACCTTAAATTCATTTGCTCATCTGATTGGGTGCATCCCTTTCATGTTCGATTACTCATCTCTCGATTCAACCTTTTTATCAACTGACTATTTAACTAACTGTTCAACTGACAGCTGAACTAGCTGTTGAACTGATCTAAGGACTGACTGTTGAACCGATTGTTCAATTGACTGTTGAACTGCTTATTCAACTGATTATGTAATTAATTTCGAACTAATCGTTGAACATTAAATCCACCCACTGACCTGATTGGATGCATCCCCTAGCTTTTATCGTTTGATTGGGTGCACTCCCTGGTATAGCGGGTCCTTTCGAAACTAATTATGTAATCTTTTCGACGCATTGGCCACTCTTTGAGGTTCGAATCCTTTCGCAACTGGCATTGAAGGTGGTCCATGCATTCTTACATAATCAAGCTTTAAATTTAAATAACTTTCGAATTAATAAACTTATAAAATTAAAAAAAACTATTTTATATAATTTAAAATTTTCTTTAATTTATTTAAATTAAAATTAAATATGTTTAAAAAATCGACCTTTTTCGGTAAGTCCGAATATCCGGCTTGGTGGGCTGACGTAATGATATATGGGTCGAAAAATTACGTAATTTCGATATTTTTAATCTTTATAATTTAATAACTTCACCACCTTTTATATATATTATATAAAACCGATATATTTAAAATGAGTAAAATCTACTGCATTTTGACGATATAATCATGTTATATAAGATATATGCTTTTTCATAAATTGATAAGATTCGAAGATTAGCCCGATTGGGAACTCCGGAAACTCCGACAAGTGTTGATTTTCCCCTACGTTTCGTTGCGACACAATAACCCTCGGAGCTCGGGCACTGCTAAAAGTGTCTCCACGCATTAGCCTATTAAACTTCTGCTAAAATTTTTGGATGCGAACTTGATTTGTCTCTTCTCGCAATCTGCGCTACGGTACATATATGGCTGCCTAAGATACCTATCTACCTCTTACAATCATCGATTATCGAATCATCGGCGATATTTCGTTCAGATGGGTAAGGAGCACCTTGCCCCTGTCTTATTCCTAGATGGAGGGCTAGGCACATCTCTCGAGGACAAATACGGCGTCAAATTTGACGAGAATACCCCTCTATGGTCCTCGCATCCCCTTATCGATGACCCGGAGACCCTGCGTGCGTGCCAGAGGGATTTTGGTAGCGTTCCCGTCGATATCTTGCTTACGGCAACCTATCAGGTTTCAGCCGAGTCCTTTTCACGAACCAAGACTTCAAACCATCCACAGGGCATCGGCCGCAGTGATATCTCACCTTTCCTCGATCTAGCTATTTCGATTGCTGAGGAAGTTAAAGCTCCCGATGCTCATGTTGCTTTAAGTGTCGGGCCATATGGTGCCTGTATGGTTCCTAGCCAAGAGTATAGCGGAAAATATGATACAGAACACGATTCGTTTGAACGACTATTCAATTGGCATCGGGACCGCTTCGACTTGTTTGAACAGGTTGATCATCTAGGATCCCGTATCTCATTCATTGCTTTTGAGACCGTCCCAAGACTAGACGAAATAAAAGCTATCCGAAGACTTTTCACCCGTGCTCCGTCTTCTATATCGAATGCATTATCCCTTCTCCACGGGGAAGTACCATTTTGGATATCATGCGTCTTTCCCGGTGACGCCTATACTCTTCCTGATGGCAGTGATATTGATCAAGTGGTCGATGCTCTCTTAAGCACAGAATATTCGGACGTTATTCCTTGGGGAATTGGCATCAACTGCACTAAGATAGGAAAGCTTCCTGGCCTAGTTGAGATGTATGGTCGCTCCATTGCTAAGTTGACAAGTTCCGGTCGACTTGGAACCCATCCTATCTCCTTAGTTCTCTATCCCGATGGCACCAACGGGGAGATATACGATACGGTAACGAAGACATGGCAAGCACCGGCCAGTCACCAAACTCCCACGGTAAGTACAGTTAGAGATGCGAGTATGTGGTCTTAAAGTAAGGACGCTGAATGTGCATTTAGACCCAGTCGCCATGGGAACACCAGCTTTCTGAGGTGGTTAGCCTTGCTCAAAAGCAGCATTGCTGGAGGTCTATCGTGGTTGGTGGATGTTGCAAGGCAACTCACAGCGACATCACGAGACTTCGTGCCGTCGTTCAGGAAACTTGATTAAGGATAATCAAATGAGCCACCATCCAATCTTCTTCGTCACTCATCTATGCTCTATGGACAATGGCCCATGGTGAGTATTAGATAGGGTAAATGGAAGAGATAGTACATGGCTTTCCTTGAGGCATACGCGACTGAGGCGCAACCAATAAGTGGAGATGAATGGTGACAACGCCTACCAATTTATTGGGTAATATATTTTTCATACAAATGAGAACGTTGGAGTGTCACGTAGGATACTAACGGGCAGCACAAAACTCCAAACTCCGAACTGTCGGGGCTTGCAGAAGAGGAAATGGGAAAAAAAAGAAAATCGCAAGCTGCTAGCTGCAAATGGAATCATGATCGATATATGTTGCGTGATCGACCATTTATCATTTAGGAGTTGAGACAGCCTTATGATATTGCTTTTTACCCCCTTTTCCCTCTCCAGCGTCATAGTACATTGCTATATCTGCTTTTTTCAACACACAATCAACTTTCACTCATCAGTTTTTAGTTTCTTGACATGTTCACTGGAAGATCGGATTTTACCTCTCATATTTTTTTTTTATTGTGGGCTGCCAAGTGGCAAGCTCGTACCCGCAGTCTTGGCCTTCATGTGGTCTCTGGACCTGTTTGGATGGCCATCTGCAGAATAAACACATACAGAGATCGATCAACACAGCACACTGACACCAACAGATAAGTTTACGCTATAGTTGGAACACTATTGTTGCCCATCACGCAGTTGGCGTAGACTCATTTAACACTTTTCCACCCTGGGGTTCGGGTTATTCTATTACAAGCCTAGCACGCTAATCCCAGCGTGTCAGTATTTCGTATACGAAATATGAATCAAGGCGGAATTCCCACTGCTAAATCATGCATCAGCTAAAAGAGGCATGTAGTTTTCCAGGGGTAAACAAATCAAATTACCGGTCAATATCACGACATTTACTATGGCTCGAAATTCGTTCCTTTTCGGAATTAGAGTATTATGTATGTGGATGTTCCTAGTAACGGTACATAGCAAACGTTTCTCCAGTTGGTTACTTCTGTATGACCTACTGCAGGTCCTCAGCCGATGCAGCGAATAGACGTATCTTCCCGTTTCCAGAGGGAAGGTTGATCTAGGTGTTCGGCCGAATGAGGACTAATACCAATAGTGCGAGACGAGCTCGAACAGTGAGCATGCAATATTTACTTCGTCTGTTATGGGATTTGGCGAATGGTAGGGGATCGTCTGAACACGCCTATTTCCACAATTGCGGGTATTTCTTTTCTAGATCGGAGGATCTATCAGGAGTAGCCTTCTCAGCTTGACTTGCCAAATCAGGCTACATCACTCTTTCGTTCGCCCTATTTCCCCTGTCTGGTGCCTGCATTTCGCGCGTGGAGTCTCGTTTCTAGAGCAGCCCAAAAGCTCCAAGCCTAACTTCAACCGAGATTGACATCGACCGGGGCTGCAGTGTAAATCCCTGCAGGTTCTAAATAAACAGAAATGGTCCAAAAGAAACTCTGGGCAAACGTACCAACCAGTCGGAATGGCATATCTTGTACGATACCTGACCCCAGAGCCCACAATGTTTTCGATCTTAAAAGGTCAGCTGCTCTCCATCTTGCAGAGTTAGAATCTTTCTCTCCATCCCATCTCATCAGATTGTGCCTGCCAATAGCTCTCGTCTCATCCCGACTCGTCAGCCTCGCAATTACTTAACCGATCCAACTTCAGTCATTCGCTTGCCGTGAAGGATATCAACCGCCATAATGGTTCGTCTATTGAAGTACGCTGGCGCCAGCTCCCTACTGGTTGCTACCGTGAGCGCCAACTATGTCAGCTCCTCTCAGTACGAGGAGGAGGACTGCACCGAGACTGAGGCCTACAGCTCGACCTCGGTTTCACACCCGACTACCAGCTCCTCCGTCGGTGGATACCCGGTCATCACCCCCTCGTCTTCGGCTGGATACCCAGCTGTGAGCACCTACCCGGGTTCTTCTGCCAGCACGAAGAGCGCCACCTCCCCTGCTTATCCCACCATCTCCGTTACCCCAAGCAAGAGCGCCTCCGTCCCTGGCTCCTCTACCTCCACTGGTGCCACCTATCCCGGAGGTGAGACCGAGACCTTGACAAAGTACTCGACTTTAGTCTCCACGATCACCTCGTGCCACCCCACCGTTACCGATTGCCCAGTTGGATCAAAGACTACCGTTGTCGTCCCCTACCCGACATCGGTCCCCCAGGGACACCCCACCACCGGTGTCTCCAAGACTTACCCGGCTGAGACTCCTTCTTATCCCGTCGGAACCCCCTCCACCTACCCTGCTGGAAGCGCCAGCAACTCGGTACCTACCTACCCCGTCAGCAAGCCGGCTACTTCTTATCCCGCTTCTGTCCCGTCTTACCCGGCTGAGACCCCTAAGTACCCTACTAAGGGTTCCAGAAAGCCCGTTCCTACTTATCCTGCTGGAACTGCCGGTTACCCTGCCGCTTCTTCTACTTTCTCAACTAGCTACGGTGTCAACAGCACTACTTTCTCCGTCCCCAGCTACCCCACCGAGACACCCAAGACACCCAAGACCACCACAACCGGCTCCACTCCTATCCCTACCGCTGGCGCTGCCATCGTGGGATCTAGCGTCACCGGCGCTTTGTTCGCTTTCGCCGCTCTGTGCGTTGCCTTCTTCTAAATGGTTTAGGCCTATGGTACTAGATAGGTAGTACGTGACGAAGCCATGGAATGACGGTACTTCGAGGGTCAGGAAATATGTAAAACGCGACGGGACGGAATATAGGACTTATATTCACGTGGAGCACGATTATTACTGTACTCTTATTCTATGCGCAAGCCCGGGATGTTTACTGATCACAGGGTCCTGGGCTTGCGAAGCCAAAGCTTAGGGCGTTAATGTTTTAATATTAATGTATATAATTTATTACGGTATTCTTACCGTCACTTTAGACGAGCCAGTCTGTTGCTCCTTTGTCTTGCATTTAGATACGTAATAATGTCTTTTGAATCTGAGTATAATGCAGAAGTACGACTTGTTTCTATACCTATTCTATCAATTAACAGTGATCATTGCCGTGATTGAAATAAGTGATAATGAAATTTTCTATGTGATGATATTTATAGGTACGAGGTAAGTAAACTGATTAGAATAAAAAGGTCGGATGTCTTACCTTTCAAACACGTTATACACGTAGGTGCACCCGATCGTCGTGTGATGTCAGACTTCCGAGTGTTCCGTTCCCTTACGGCCGCACAACACAAGATACCTAATCAAAGCTTTCTACGTTAGACAAGTAAAATTATAAAATTCTAGGGAGTATTACAGTTAAGGCCTTTTTATTTTAGTCGATTTACCTATCTCGTATCAATGTAGGTAGTGTTCAATACGTACAATGCATCAAAACACAGCAGTCAGTACCTCTAATGAGTAAGAGCGCCATTGGCTTAGATTAGAAGCATCCTTTCTTTAACACCATGAGTTCCAAGGTTAGTATATACATAGGTACCCAAGCAACTTGTATATAAAGATGATAATATAGAACCATTTTCAATAAGTATGCGTTAGTAAAGGTACCTAAGAATTCAGGCCCTTTGGGTTACTAATAGATAAGAAGCCAGATTAGGAACTGGTTTCAACGATGGGACTTCTACCTATTTAACACATCAATGACTAGACAGGCACCCTTAGAGGCCCTTTTCTATAAGCAAACAGAACAAAGGGTACATTATACCATATTGTTAATGGGAGGAGAAAAAGGAACATTAAAAATCGTATTATACTGTAAGGGTGCGGTATCTTTCGACCACTATGAACGAATCGATACCTACCTAAGGTATGTATAAAGAATATACTTTATGTTTGACTAATTAAATAAGCTAGGTGAATATAAAAACTTGTTATCATATAATTGAGTGTGATGGGTGTAGGGTGGTGACTTTATGGACCGGCTACATATTGAAAAAACGTGACAGGTAGGTAAGAAGTACGTATGGATTCAGGAGCCGCAGCAGCCGGGTATAAATTGTGTCATGGAGGAGGTACCTAAGGTTGTACTCCATCCCACTGCAGTACATATATAATATTCTTGCGTTATCAATACCTACGTTTAACTGAAAATAGGGGTAGTGTGGCTTGACATATTAGAAATGTACATGTTACCTAGCATAAATGATAAGCCATGTAATAGGCTAATACCTCTCGTAACAGGAAACAAGGAATGTAGCACGAGAGTACCTATGGAGAAAGGTTGTGATAAGGTAGGCACTTCGGAAGTGTACGGTTACTTGCATCGTAGGATGTGTATGCGTATATAATCTAAGGATGATGATTCGATGTATTGTAATTGCAGGATGACAGAATGCCATGTAATCCAGTCGTGCAAGTGATATCTATAGAGATACAGAAGAATATTCTTTTGTATTTTCATGACGAGTATAGGGGAACACCACTGTAAAAATAGGAGTGATCTGCGACTTTAACTGAATGGAGGATATAGCAATGTAACATACATCAAGCTTAGAGGAGTCCAACACCCTTTATAAAAGATCTAGACGGGTTTGTGTTATGTAATTCTTATGGTCTTGGGAAGTCCATGAAAAGCGAGGACTTCTCCAAATTCGAAGGATGGGAAGATACTTATATCCAAAGAATCGTATGATTGCGGGTTTTCCCACTATATATAATATTCACAATGGATAAGTATCTAGGCAGATAATTGAATTTATAGGATTCTGGGATTCTGGCACCGAGTATATATGTCTAGGGACACTAGACCAACTACTTTCAAGATCTGATAGCTAACAAGGAATAGGGAGCTAGGGAGCTTACCCCATATACATATATACTTTGGATACGCCGGAAACCTGCATTTCTTCCTGGTTATTAATGAAATTGGTGCCAATGGGACTGTTCCTGTAGACCCAATGACGCGCGGCATTTCATTCGACCGCATCTTCGAATGGAGATTCATCCTCTCCTTTAGGGTATGCTGGTAACTGGTTCGAGGGCTCTTTGTCCTCGCTATCCTGGGATCTCGGCACAGCCCGCACGCTTGCCACGCGTTATACGCCCGATCTTGCAGTCCCATGACTTGCGGGTGTCGATCCGGACAAGATACAGTAATACATACCTAGCCAAGATCCGATGGAGCGTCACTCTGGAACCGAATTCCTAGGAACGTGGCGATGCAACTAAAAGTTTAATCCAACGTCTTTAGCAGCGCTGAGAAGAGCCGCATGCCTAAAAGAGAAAATTTGAAGGATTCTGACTCCCTGATTGGATGTTGATTAGAGGTGAGGTCGACAGCTCAGGAAGGTCGAAAAGGGGTTTCATTAACGTCGTATTTTCAAAAACTAGATCAAAGCCCCTAGGAAATTCTGCATAATATAGCATCATCTAATGTGAATAAATAACATGGCTAACATCATGACCTAGCAATTAAATGCAACTTGTTTGAAAAGCGAAGGATGAGAATAAAGGTGAGGATGAAGGGGAACATGGAGTTGGGAAAAATCGGTTAACGATTGAACCGGTAGTCCACGATTAAGCCATGATCTCCGACCCGAGACGACCCGAGGATTGTCAGTCGGGCTATTGTTATAGTGGCGAGGACATAATGCCCTTGTTAGTCACAGGATTTGCGGATTTACGGTGATCGACATTTGATGCTGCTAATGTGACCATAGGAGATACTGAATACCGCAACTCCGAATGCACGTTGAAATGTAATACGACCAAAAGGTTTAGAACGAGGGACCAACATGGATAGTTAGTGTTGGTAGTTCCATAAGATGTCGAGCTACTGTACGAAATCACGAGATAGAAAAAAAGTAAGAAATGACGATGAGTATGGATTTCTAAGCGACGGCCCCATCAGCAGGCCCGAGGGTCCGGTCCCGGCAAAGCCGTAAAGTGGGGATATGATAGGTGTAAACAAGGAAAAAGCGGAAACTACGAGATTGGGAATAGGGTTGGGGAAGAAGTAGAAGGATCCAGAAACAATGGAATAAAGGGAGGAGGAGCAGGAGGAGGTACAAAGCTGCAAGAGTGATGAATGAACAAAAGAATTAAGAGGGGAACAAAGGAACAGTCGGTAAGTGACTCATTTCCGGCATAAGCGAGACAGTTTAGTCCTTAGAGAAATGGCGCATCGGGAAAATGATTGATACCTAGAAGGGACAGGCAGACAGGATGGATGAATAGAGAAGGAAAAAAAGTGGTTGTTAATTGTGGTGTGGAATATGGATATACACGGAAAGGTGGAAAAAAGGTGGAAAGATACATCCGAATGTAGAAAAGAGTGTTGAGTGTTTTGCTCATCAATGTGGCTGTTTGTTGCTGCAGCCGTTACTGCTGCAGCTGCTGTTACTTGTAAAAAAGGTACCCTGTTGCAATTATCGACTAGATGTAGAGGAAGGTACTGTAGATTTTTGATATCTACATCTACGCAGCTACATCATACAGCTGCAGGCTGTAATTTCTAATGCGAGGCCGGAAATAAGTGGTCATACAAGTAGAGAAAAAAAAAAGAGCGAGGCGCGCCCGACGTCTCCGAAGAGTGGGAATGGGCTTGGAGGGGAAAGTGGGAAGGACCGGCCGGAAGTGCTCATTCTTATTGTTGATTCTTTTTTAAGTAAACCAATCCGATCAATCAATTCAAAAGTCTAAACCGTTAGCAAGGGCAACTTTAAAATGATCATTTTATTTATGCTAAGTAACTCGGTACATTTTATGTATGTAAATTCTAGCTTGAGGTTAGGTACACACACATTAAAGTATCTTTATATGGATACATCTGATCCATATGTACATCATACATACATCTATCCATCATTGAATGTTTAAGGTAAGGCAATCACCAGTCACCAGGCCACATCCACAGAGCCCAGTAACAGCAATAGCAACCAGCGACCAGCACATTACAGGATTACACATTACATCAAGATCTGTACAATACACCATTTTAGAAACTCGCACATCCTATCAACGACAAAATCACAGTTGACAGGTTACAAGCATTAAGTCATTAAATCATTAAGTCACCGACTCGCCTTTGCGCCTTTGCCCGGGGGGTACCAAATCGACATTTCGATTGCCCTATGGATATTTGAACTTGGATTATTAACCTGTTTTTAATACTTGAATCGTATCCGTACCGGAGCTGCCTACGATTATCTGCTCTCTATTTTGCCTGCTTCGTTCATTTTCTATTACCTATTACCGAAAGGTACACATGCATGCAACTTGACTCCTCAACTTGAAGTTCCCTCATCCCTCAGCTTGTCTTGTTAGCTTTGCTTTGCTTTGCTCTGCTTACATTGTGTGGCCGTCTAGCTTGTGACCTGAACCCTCTTTTTCATTATTACATCGAATTCTTCTACTTTATTCTGCACCTAGCACTACATAACCTATATACTTACACATTCCTTCGGGTCGCTCGGAGCAAACCCTTTCGCTCCCCATCATACGACGGGAACTACTTAACATTTGAAGGCCGATCTGCCCAGAATTGACTGGGTCCCTCGGAATTAAAAAGAAATAAAATAAAAACAACAAACCAGAGTCAAACCCATTCCCAAAAAACCTAGTGGCGCGTCTCGGTTTATATGAGAGTCGACACAACATCTCACACCTGCTCACATCCCTACCTATCCTGTCGTAACAAAGATCTGTCAGTCCGCGCAAGCAGACTACGCAATACACAAGCACACAACCTCCTCTAATCCACATTATACGCATACCATCCTGTACACATACACATACACATACACAAACGGATAGCTTATTGCCGACGCAGGTACACACACAGCCCTGTTGCATATCCATACACCACCCGTCGCCAAAGCTTACCAATCCCCTCCCTTATCCCAAGTGTACAAGTAGTCGTGGGAAGTACCGATGGCTGCTGTAGTAAGTGTATCGCAACCTATCACACCTGCGATACCAGGTCGGAACGATAGTAGTGATAGCTCTCGTTCTAGTCAGACGAGTACCGAGAAGGTCAAACTCGCCTCCCAGCTTCGCACCTCTTCATCGCTGTCAAAGCACCATCGCAGCAGCCATGAAAGCAATTCTCAAGTCGACCGCTCAGTCCAACCTAAGCGGTGGAAGACCATCCTCAAGGCCTTCAAGCATATCCACAACCTGACTCCTAAGGAGGTTGATGACTTCATGGCATCGTATGAGATATACAACCTGGACTGGGCCAACGAGGATGAAATGGTAAAGGCTTTCGGTCCCAACTACCAGGAGCGTGTTGGTGATTGCCTTCGCTCCTACTATTCGGTGTTGAACCATCTTTGCAGTCTTGGTGATGTCGAGAAGATGTACATCCCGCCGCTAATGGACAAGAAGGCGTCTGTCCTAGACAACCAGCTCCTCTACGAGGAATCTATCGCCAGGGATATTGGACTGAAGGAGGGCATGAAGGTCCTAGATCTTGGATGCGGTCGTGGGCGCGTCGCTGCCCACATGACAAGCTTTAGCGGAGTTCATGTAACCGGTCTAAATATCGATGCGAATCAGATTGCGCAGGCTAAGGACTGGAATGAGCGGTGCGGTTTCAGCAACGACTTTGTGGTCCACGATCAGAACAATTTGCCCTTACCCTTTCCTGACGAGTCTTTCGATGCCTTTTATGAGATACAGGCGCTCAGTCTCTGCAAGGACCCCTCTGCCACATTCAAAGAGGTCTACCGCCTGCTAAAGCCTGGCGCTAAGTTTTCGCTGTTGGATTGGGTCAGCTTGCCGCCGTACAACCCCGAGGATCCTGTCCATGCGGGACTAATGCGTCGCGTTAAGCCTCTGATCGGCGCTGTGGGCACCCCGACACCGGTAAGTTTTGAGAAGGCCCTCATGGATGCCGGCTTCACCGTCACAAGGTCGGACAATCCCAGCATAGACGGCCTTCAGGCCCCGCTCATCGACAAGGTCGACATTTATTTTCGCTCCGTCAGGCGCGTCATCCACGGTCTTGTCCGATTACACGCACTGCCGCCGCACTTCAAGATTCTCATGGATAGGTTATGCCTAGACGGCCAGGCGTTTGTACAAATGGACAATATGCGCCTTATTACCACGACATACCGGATCATCGCAGAGAAGCCTTTGGTATAAAGGAATTGGAGAAACGATAGGTGGGGGAGAGGGAACGGAATTTTATTATTTTTTCATGAGGGTGGATTTGGGCACGGCTATCGGAAGTCGGAGGATTCGACACCACTCTTGGTATGGCGCTGTCGTCCATCCACGCTTACGCCTCATCCTTTTTGGTGGGGTGAAAATTATTTTATCATTACGGACCTATACTTAAACTACACAACTCCCGCTCTACTCCGTCGCAGAAGCCCCCTTTACCTTCTTCCTTCCATTCTATTTTCTTTCCCTAAAGCGACTTTAGATCTCGACGAAGCATTGATCAGCATTTTATACTTAATAGCATACTGCATATTGCGTTGCTTTCTAACGGAAAGGGGAGGGGTGTTCTGTTCTTGCCATCTTTACCTCATACTTAATATACGACTTGATTTTTATGCTTATGAGCAAGGGGTGGCTGCCGAGGGAGTGGGGAGTTGGTTTCGCTTCTCCTCGACTTCGGATTTTTAAGCACATTCGGAGTTGAGCAACTATTCTTAACTTATTAGAGGGCGATTGGGCGTTCTCTTCTTCGCTTTGACGCGATACGAGTACATAGGCGGTAGTGGTAGTGAATTTAACAAACGTTATTAAATCTAATTTAATATGACACAAGATGGTTCGCATTTACATCAATTTTCGCTATTAGCATATACTATTTTTCATAGTCGCCGACTAGTTAAGTTGTATGATACTAATCTGGAACACTTGGTTCTAACTGTAATCATTCATAGATGGAAAACGCCGGCCTCGAAGATTTGACAGCTGCTACCGGGGAGTCATCGTGACCCTCACCTCCCACATCACCTTCATACGGAAGTGAAAAGCTCTTCAAGCTACGCAAAAGACCACATATCTTTCATATTCCATTCAATTACACCAATAGATAAACCGCTCTTCGTTTTCTCAATTCGTGAGAATCAGCTGATGAAATCCCGCCCTGTTTGCGGTATTGCCGTTCTTTGTCATGGAGTTATGGTCACATTCCAGAGCAGCCCGCGCGGGTAGGGGTACTTGCGCCGAAGTACCGGATTAGAAGAAAGACGGTGCAGGACAGGCACACATTGAAACAATTGATTGTGAGTTCAGCTGAACAATACCTTGTGGAAATGTATTCATAGGTACATTTTACGAGACCTTATGGGGAAAAATTCAACATTCCCGGCGCTGGTGCAGCCTGTTCGCTCATTGAGAGGCTCTTACATACTAGGTACCTACCTAGGTATTCAGCATACTCTAATTTTCCCCTCGAATCATCCCACTTTCGATTCTTTTCGTCGCATAATCACGAAATTTTATTAAATATTCTCTAATAATTAATCTTTAATTGTAGCTAGCGCTAGTTATGTCACAAGTAGGAGAGACAAACTGGCCTTCGGAAGGCTTTGTTGGGAATGACGACAAGAGCGTAACGACACAAGCGGACGACGATTCTCTTTTCGATATCCTGCCTTTCGAAGAACTCAACGATGAGATCGATGGTTCTCATGTTGATGCGGGTGACACTGTGAATACTGACGAGACGGTGAACGTTGTGGGGAAAGATGCTGCAATATCAACTACTCTGGAACTGATGAGCTTGGGCCGATCGAGATTGAGAAAGCTACCCGACATGCAGTGCGCAGTAGATTGGATTATGGGACGGAATCTGGTGACGAATAGGACTGTACAGTTAGCAGAACCGCCGGCTAAGACGATTAAAAAGAGCGAAGAGGTTAAGACTGGATTAGAACAGGAAATCAAGAGGAAAATCGAGCGGAAAATCCGGCCACCGAAATTAATAGACGATGACTTCCTCGATATAGGGGACGTTCAAGATATATGCCCCGCTTGCACTACACCGTACTGTACCGCTATTGACTCGCTTCCATTCAAAGGTAGCTTACGGTTAAGTTACAACGATCCCGAAACGCATACCTGGTCCATCGGCGACAAGTATATTCTAACGGAGTCGATCGACGACGAAGGCCCAGAGCAGATTCACGTTCCATTAGTTCGGGCGACGCAACTTTTTAAAAGGTCGAAGGTGCCGGTGCCAAATGTGCTCGCAGGATGGAAAGAAAGCGGGAGGATCATCACGATCTCCGAAAAGGCGGAGGGGGAGCGATTATACGATATATGGTGGGACCTCGACCAGGACCAGCGAGAGGCGATCGCGAAAGAGGTGGCACGATACATCGGCCGATGGCGAGCATGTGTGGCAGATTCGATCTCGAGCTTGTCAGGCGGTCCGGTGTGGGGACACGACCACCTCTTCGGCACGCGGCATTCAGGGTTCGGACCGTTCGCAAACGACGAGCAACTATGGGAGGCCATGCACGAGAAACTAAAAGAGCGAAACGTGCACGAAATCGTAATCCAGACGCTGAAAGATTACATGCCGGAATCAGCACCGTGCCTGCTAACGCACGGCGACGTATCGAGCTACAACGTGGTGATCCGCGACGGCAAGGTGTCGGCGATCTTGGGGCTCGAGAGGGCGGCCAGATTACCCGCGTGGGCCGAGTACGTGGCGGCGCATTTCTGCTGCTGCAAGGAGGATGAGCAGTGGAAAGCGATGCTCACTAGGCACATGACACGTTACCCACGCACGAGGGACTGGTGGGCCCTGTGGGCCTCGGCGACCACGAATGGGAGCGGGAAGCGTGTCGTCGCCAAGCTGGTGGCCCGCTGCAGACGATGGGAGAAGTCGCCGCGGGAGAAGCGCGCGTACGAATTCGACGCCGACGAGGATGAGTGGCGCCGCGACGAGGACGACGAAGAAGGAAAAAACAACTTTCAATACCCCCCAAAAAGCTTCTTGTCCGAACTGATGCCGGGATTGGACCTACGACATAATACCTGGGAAGAAGAAGGAGGAGGCGGAGGAGGCGGTGGGGCGAAGGGGAAGAGGAGGAGCAGAGCGGAGTACGAGTACGCGCTGCAGCAGAAGAAGAAACATCTTATGAAGCCGCGTCGCTACACAGAGCTCCTCGAGGACCCGGACTGGCAGGAGCCCGTGGGCTCGCAGTCAGGGGATAGCGACATCATCGTGCCGCTGAATGACTTCGCGCTCTCGGAAATTGAGAGGCGCATGGAGGCCGAGAGGGCCAGGATTAAGGAACAGGAGGCCGCGGACGGGTCGCCGGCGGTGCCGAGGAGGATCAGTATCGAAAGGTGGCTTGCCGAGAGCGTGAGGGGCAGGAGGGCTATCCGTCCGCTTCTGGCCAAGCTTACGACGGATTTCAAGGGCGAGGTCCCGATTGTTAGTCCGACCAAAAGTCCTCCTTGGAGGGAAAGACAGCGGTCTTTCGAAAGACCCCAGAATAACAACGCTCCGAGGGGGTTAAGGCCTTTTAGTTTGACTCAGTCTGGAGATGTAACCGAGGCGGCGAAGAAGAGCCTGAGGGAAATAGGCGAGAGACAGGAAAGACTCGAGGAACACGAGGAGAGCGATAGCCGGGAGAGGGCACTAAGATCCCTCGAGGGCGGTAGCGGTGGGGACAATGTTAACGCCGCCGCCGCTGCTGCTATAGCTATCGCTGGCATCCCCGTCGATAAGACGCCGGAGGATAAGGCCATGGCTAGGCACAGCTCACCCGCGCAGCATTCCGGCAAACGCGCGTCGATCTTCCCCGAGAGGACCAGGCCGGGGTCGCTTTACTTGGCTGTCGCGACTGCGGGGGCTGAGGGGCGGTCTAGGCGATACCGGAGAAGCCGTTCTGAGGAACGAGCTGGGGAGGTGGTGGAGGAGCAGAGACAGGGCGAGAATACTACTATTACGGATCAGCCGCCCCCGCGTGCACGGTCGCAGAGTGTGATGCCGCAGAGTGCTGGTGCTGGTGTTGGTGCTAGTGGGGGGACGCAACCGGGGCACATGGTTCACGATCCGTCTGTGGGGTGACGTATTAATCGCTTTGGTGCAATGCAAGACCCCGAGGGGTAGAATCTAGATCGATGATAGGATTTGTGAAAGATAGGCGAACGGAACCTCGTCTTCTTATTGGTCTGTGGTGGTGACCCTTGCCAGATCCTTGGTGTTGGATGTGGATGGTGGTGATAGTGATGGGATCCTTCAAAAGCAAAAGTTATTCCCAGCAGTCCCAGTTGGTTTTCACGCAGGGTACCTAGGCTTATTTTTTTATTCTTTTTCTTTTCCGAGTTATTCAAAGCGATACGGAGTTCAAGTTCATAGTCGGTTCTACTGATGGAAACTGGTCCTTTTTATAAGCATGTTACCACATACGAGATAATAACACAGACACTACATAATCGATGTTGTCTAGGTACCTGCTCAGTTGTTGTCGACCCTTGTTCGTATGCTATGAGGGGTTTGTATGCCAGGTTCGTTTCTCCATAACCAGCGATGGAGATATTTACGTAGATAATTAGGATCGGTCAGGCTTGATACAGGGGTCTTTGCTCCGTCGCGGAGTTTCCCTGCTTCGCCTGGTGCCTTCGCGAAATCAAGATACCTACAAGATACCGCAGAATCTACTGCTTGGCCCAGCTAAATTCTATGTTGTTACTTGATGTCCTTAAATCCATCTAGGAGAACAAGAAGGACAAAGTCCAAGAAAAGATAGGTAAGTATTAATGCCAACCCCTTCATATTAACACCTGGAATGAAGTCAGTGTAAAATCCACCTTGCCCGTCTGGCACTCTTGATCATTAAGACATGCACAATGTTACGCATTCCGCGGATCTGGGTCTCATTTCTTTTAATCGTGACCGACACTAGTGTACCATGCATGCGCTACATTCTACAGCCCGCTTCCATGTGTGATGCGACTAGTATCAAAGCAACCCTACGACTCAGCCCTAGGCTTCTTAAAGTCCGCGGGTACCGTATATTAGCGTAAATAGACTTGCCGTGTGGTGTTATACAACATATGATTATCACCTCGTACCTCGGATAGGTGCCGTATACCTAATCCCTGTTTGATGTTCCAGATAAAGATTTGATCACTTTAAAAGCAATTCACAATTTTCACGGCGGTTACTTACCCTTGGATGATAGCATGTACATCACAAGTCGCCGACACTGGCTATCATAGTAGTCACTCATTAGATTTGGTAACCTACGAATAGGACTGTAGCAGGTCGCTACTGAAGACAATTGAAGCCATCAACAAGTCTCTACCAGCTTACGGTATGGAGTATTGTGATAGAAACCACTTTTATGGGTATCCAATCCTTCACATGACGGTCTTACACCAAGTACCTACCTAGGGTAGTACCTACCTAGTAGATAGGTAGTTATGTAGGCTCTATCACAGCGAGTAGCTATCTGCATACCTACCTCTGTAGGGATGTTTTTAAACTCCAATTCTCTGAAGTGGATCATTCTTTAATGACAGCGACAGCGAGGTTACCAACATGCCTACCTAACTTTTCTTTACTTCATAATTGAACCTAGAAGGGCGCAGACTGGAACATTAGTCAATTTATCCGGAAATAAATTCATACAGTTATCTTTGAAGGAATACTTAGTTCCCGAAACTGAATGGATGTTCTTGGACGTTTCTAAAGAGTTGGTATTGCTAGGCACACTATCGATATAGGAGAAGTCATATGACTAGTCAGCGTTGAATACCTACCATCCTATCCCCACCCTCTCTTGTCAAATGAGATAGGTCTCCTATTGACCTTGAAGCAATTATCATGTAATGGAGAGTGCTGGGATAGCCGAGAATATTAGCGGACCGTCAACCGTTACGATAACCTCCGACAATCAATCAACTTCTAAAAGATGGATGGGCATTAGAGATAAGTACGGAAGATGATAACCCATATCTTAAATATGCTAAGACTAGTAGTGAAATAATCAAGAATCTTATTAGGACTAGTGAAAATTCAAGCTTGCTAGAAGCAACAGGTAATATTAGGAAATACTTTGGTTCTCTAGTAACTACCCAGGTACCTACCTATTCAAAGCTAAATAATCTGCAATAGCTTCTCTACCACAAAAGCCTTCAGAAGCTTTTCCTACAACACTTGTCGGAGAACAAGTCGCCCTCACACAGACCCCCAATAGTCATATTAGACGAGTGACACCCACGCGACCAAGCTCTGCATATGGTTTACTGAGCCCAACAGACAACGACAACCCAATATATATGGTTGAATCTGACACATCTGATGACGATGAAGTCCCTCTAATTCGTCGGGTGACTAATGAAGACGTGTCAAATAAGAGGCATTCGACCAACCATACGCCAACATCTTATGAAGACGATGATAGATTAGATAACCTTCCTCTCAGTTTATTCAGGAGATCAGAAAGACTACGCCAGAATGTTAATCTTGCAAGCCGTGTCATAAAGGAGACTGAACAATGGAAGTATACGACATGGAAATGTAAGCTTCGTCCTAACTTCCTCATCACATGTGCATAGGTATCAGATGGTAACGAATATCAAAAGCACCATCAGGAGGAACGCAACAAACTGCGGGAGCGTTGATACCCCAGGGATACATCCACCACAACGACCCCCGCTTACAATGGATATGTCCTGTCCGCTCATGTCGAATGTTATACGCAAAGCTCTGGGGGCTTGGATCTCATTTCAATGTATGTTCTTGAGCGCGACTACTATTAGTAATGTGGATTTGCTCACTTCAGCATTAGGGTCCACATAGGGGATGTCTATTCAATGATAACGAAGATGGTACTTTATCGCTTGTCGAGAAGATAAAGGGAGCGGGGTCAAGAATGCCTGCTGCAGTAGTGTCTAAGAAGCCACTGGACCCAGACGAGCCTCCTATGGTAGAACCGTCACTCCCTCATTATAAGAAGCCGATCGGAGTTCCATCCTCTCAACTCCAAACTACTAGTAGCCAAAATAAGTCCACTGGTGGTATAAGATTCCGCATAACATCTCCCTATAATGTTCGAGCTCTAACTCCTCCTGAAGAGGAGAGTGGTAATGAGCTTTGGAAATATGTTCAAAGCCATTTAGTGCGAACACCACTGTCACCGATACCGAGCCGTGGTCGTAAGTAAATGTTGAATGAAATGCATTATATCTTGAATATGTCTACTTGAAGGGCTAATAGATATTATAGACGTTCGAGGGCTTCTTGAATGCCTATCCCGTACTCGGGATGTTGAATTTAATCCACAGGCGCAAAAGCCATTCAAAGAAGTGAGAGATCAAGATATATCGGCCATGATTATTCAAGTCACTGGGAGGAAAGCTCATAGGGCGTGCCGTGGATGTAAAGAGGGAAAAGGGCCATTCAAAGGCTGTTATATTATTCCCGCCAATGCCCCGCTACATCTTCGCCGGTCGATTTCAGGCTGCGCCAACTGCTATTACAGTCGTATCCAGACTTATTGCGACCTAAAGCAATGGTCGATTGAGACTTATCCTGAGTTGTCAGGCAACAATGTTCCCAAAAATACAGGTAAACGGCAACTGACTGAATCGAATCCTCCACAACCAAACGAAACCAAGAGACTACCAGCCAGGCGATCTCTAAGAAACATACTAAAGCAAGAGCGTAAGAGAAATAAAGTGATTGTTCGTTCTAAATCCAACCAGTCTCCAATACACCAACCAGTCCGCAAAACTCAGCCTACTAATACAACTGGGAGATCTGATATTCATAGCAATGCGAGTACAATCGCCATCAATCTGGGTCAGATGATCGAACTAGAAACATGGGAGGTTGCTCCTGGTCGTATCCGGGATGAAGCGAGAGATACCGTTGACAGTACGCAACCGATAGCCCCTCTATTCTAGGGATACTTCACTAACAAGACTGTAGATTTCGCGTTTTCTACCGCTTACCTAGCGCAGAATAAATCAGTTACCATATGTCGCGATATCTCATTCCAAGTTATTACCATCAAGCCAGGCACCGTTCACAGCTGGGATGCATGCACCTCGTATCTACGGCTGTGCTCAGTCGGTTCTGGCAAGCTCCAGGTCAAGATACATGGCCAGGAGTTTCTGATAGGGCCTCATGGAATGGTAATGATCAGGCCTGGTGCAGACTGTACCGTTACGAACAAGCTTTATATAGACGCTGTGGTTCACGTTACGATCGTACCAAATGATTTATACGAATAGGGTCTTGATATCTGGGAATATTGATGTTGATTCTAGTTCACCAGCGTTTAAATATACCCGTTATATGTATCTAGGCACCTATGCTAGCTATTACACTCATTAAAATGTTTCAATGAAATCACATGGACCTGGTAAGTACCTACCTATTAACACCGTGTGGTGATACTGCTCCTTACTTAATATAGGTACCTAGGTATCTAGGTACTCTTCAGGTCTCTAGGTACTCTTCAGGTCTCTTCCATTATTATATTGACATAATATTTCTAGGTAGGTAATAAATAGAGATTTAAACCGTTCATCCTCGTTTAGCTCCCCTAACTACCTACGTACATGCCAACTACTTACTTATTTAAGTCAACATCTTCCAATTCAGATGGATCTATGAATGTAAAATTCCTCGGTGAACGAGGGTCATGGACGGAGTCACTACCTATACGATGGTAAACCGGTTCTGGTTTGGCAATTTCGGGCCCACGTAAATCAGAGTTATTAGCTCCCGACTTGGTCGCTAATGAATCCAACCTAGGTGGTATCGGTGCTTGTCCTTGGGCTTGTGGCGCTGTCTGCCTCTCTACGTCGTCATTCTCACACTTTTCTTTCCGTTTACGTCTGCGATATCTGATATAGAACTCAATTACAGTGATAATTAAGATCCCCAAGCCTGACACTAACAAGGTCGTGATTAACAAAGTTTGGGATGTATGTGACTCGGGCTCTGTGCGGCTAATCATAACAGACAACATGGCTAAGATATCGATATAGATGATTCCGTACCTAAGCGAAGGTTAAAGAAACGGATATAACCTTTTAAGTATGCAAGTCATCCTCTATATATACATTTCAATGAGCCCCTCATCATCAATCACGCCGACATTGTTCAATACAGCCATATATGTTTATAAACATGCAAGCAAATATGAAGTAGGTTGCTACTTTATCTACCCCATTTAATCTACAGTTGTTGGGTGATTGTTATAAGACAATGCGATTGTGCGCGATAAGGTACCTAAGCATCCTTTTTTGTAAATAGGGGTAACTATTCTTTACATAACTCTCCTACCCATTACACATAGGTAGGATAACACTAGCACACTAATGTTACGACATATTCTACACATGTAAGTATTACCTCGTGTAATTGAGGTAGTTTAATATTACCATTTAGTTACCTAATACATCTCAGTGATGCATGCATCTGTTCTTATGACTTTCTGCTGGGAATAATCAATATGTAGGTATACCTGCCTAAGCTGGCCACGACCTCGCCTCATACGCCTCATTGATCATTACGTACCTACCTAACTAGTAGGTTAGTGTGAAGGGACTTTCTGCAATTGCAGTTTCTATTTCATGAATTCTTATTAAAGAAAGTGTCATAGAGAGTACCTAGTAGGTAGGCGCCTAACCTAGGAATGATGCCATCTCAACTCGGAATATACCGAAGTTAGCGGGTCTGGCCTACTTTTTTCATGGCCAAGACTTGGCACAAAGAAAGAGTAGAGATAGACTAGAAGAAAAGAAGACTTGGGTGGATATAAATGACATTTGAGGAGATACGCTGTAGCTATCTAGGTAGGTATAACGCCCCTTGTACGGGATCATTGCTAGTGCAAGATATGGGACTTGGCGGAGTTGCGCGCACATCGGGGGACCGCGGTATCATGTGGAATACGCCGAGACACTATTTTCAGGTCCGGTTTAGAGAAAAACGTACCTAAATCTCTTTGGCGTAAAACAAAAGCCTGAGTGACGATACAAAACTGCAGGTTTTCTGATAAACACCGGACCATTGACTCATGCGTACCTGGAAACGGAGTACCTACCTTTTTGTACCTTAAGTGCCCATATTATCCATGAATGAAAGTCAGAGTAGATACTAGGTACCTATCTCGCGAGTTACTACGAAGATATTCCTTTGTCAATGGTATCCATAAGGACCAAATCAAGCCGTGATGTCTGTCGAACAGTCGAGACTCGTCGTCGACGATTACGTAATATCGTCAGTAGAGAGGGTCTGGCCTTGGTAACGAATGAAAAAGTAGATTGTCCACCTTCCAGAAATATACATCGAACTATATGGGGTAGGGCTCAGAATGTACACCTGATTCGGGAAGGTGACGGGATGTCGGCTTGCAACCTGTCTGGATCACTGCAAGATCTAGGTTAATAACACGCACTTGAGGTTACGCTGCTGTTGACTCGTGGAACTCTGTTCTATTTTCTGACTGCGGGATGACAGGGGCAGTTGAGAGTAGCGCGCCTGTGAGTTAGGAATAATAAGCCCATCAGACGGTCCGATGGTCAGACTAGACGTTCTCATACAACACAGATATATTGGTCGGAGTTCGTAATACCACTCTGCATTATTCTTATTGATTCGCATCGAATAGAAGGAGTCCTTTCCCGTATGACGGCATTAACACGGCGCGAGGATGGGCGTAGAGGAGTTTAAACCACTACCCCTTAAGTCGCTACATATTAGTTGGAACTATGACGGTATCCCTCAGGGCTAAGAAGCGACCGGGTCCCGATCTTGCTTTAGCGGGGACATTGGCGGATACCAACCGGACAAGAGACGGGTTTAGGATATTACTCAATTAAGGGGATGATCTTCACTAGAGTCTTGACGAGGCAATGAAGCCCGGTCTGAACTCCTGGAAAGGCTATCCGAAATGGTTTGTTGTCACATGCATCAACCTACCACGATGTTTCCTTGCAGTGACATGCATCTGTTGGCATTGGCGTATGTCTCACCTACCATATACGGCATACAGCTCTGGAGTCTGGTGTATGATGCGGGGCAGGTAGCGGTACTTGAATATAGTCTCCGAAGTACTAGGCTATGTATCGTTCTCTACACACTAGGGCTCATCCCTCCACGCTACTTACCATATTATAGATCCCTGGGTGGATCTAATACCTTATTTGATCGACGAGTAACGGTCCAGCAAGGTTACTAACGAGAACGGGATCTTAGATAAGCTTAATTTATGTCCCGATTGACAAAAGGATAGGATATGTAAAGGGATGGACGGTCTCGTAGGATATTCTTGAAGATCGATCACGGTATAACGACCCGTGACTTGATGATTGATAAATATAATTTGACTTACGTGTTGATCGTCAACAATGAATAATCAGAATAATATATATGAATTGGCCGTTATGGGTACATACCTCGGTGTGTTATGAGATAGGAGTGGATAGTTGACTTGCGAATCGCGGTTAGCAATGCCGATTTCTCGGTAATTGCAACGCGAGGACGTGATCACATCATGTCGTATTACCTGTGCTATAATATAAAAGCTTGCTATACTTGCATACTTGCCGTTGGATTTCCACTGGGGGTACTATAAGCAATCTCGAGCTAGAAACAAGCTCAGTCTTGGCCTCTTGGCTCTGCTCTTGATAAGGGGAATATATGAGGGGGCTAATTGCCGGAATAGGAAGGCCGTGCATTGAGCACCACGCGACGCGAGCTCGAGACTTCTTTTCGCAGGAAAAACGACGACTTGGCACAGCTGGAGGATACAACATCATGATACTGCCTGGTATGCCAGGTAGACACCGACAGACGCTGGTAGACACTGGTAGATTTGCCATCTCCACGCTATTGGGTTCATGTCTTAGCCTGTGTTGCAACCGGCCGCCCGAAGTCACCAAATTCAAGGGCTCCTTGATCTCATCCTTGCACGGATCCCCGGCTTCGATCTAGGCTCCATCCTACGTTAGAAGCGCCCTAAAGATCTTCTAGAGACCCTAGAAAGTAGAAACCCCAGAGAGCCGCCAAGAGGCCCCATAGACCTTACCCGCCACCAATCACTCCTAACGAATGCGGAAAGGTGTCGATATATTCTTCACACCTGAAAAACAAGCTCTGCCAGCTACCGCGCTTCCCCAGCCTGTGATAACGTCAATATCATGTCCTGCATGACATGTTGGCGCTGCAAGGCGGTTGAGTGGCAAGGGTCGCAGATAAGGTACAGATATGTACCTTTCTCCAGGCAATCAGGGTCCCCTGAGTAGAGCTAGCCAATACCTTCTAGAAATACTTCCATTACAAACTACATCGTCATCTAGCCTCTCCGACCATACCGCCGAGTAAGACCCTATGAAGAGAGGAGATCTACGAACTTCCTTCCTAGGAAGGCCATGATCTACCGGTACGAGTTATATCGAGGGCCAGACGAAGCCGTCGCCATGATAAATAGTCGCGATGCCCTCGTCCTGAGGGTAGTTTCTGTCCCTCATCACTCACGAGGAAAGCCCCTTGATAACCCCTACCTCTTTCTTACCTGATCATCCTCACTTGCTCCAATATGCGTACTGCTGCCTTCCTCTTCTCTCTCCTGCCATTGGCAGCGGCTGCCCCGGCCAAGCGGGCCGAGCCAGCCCCCCTAATCAAGCCTCGAGGATCTCAGCTCGTCGAGGGCAAGTACATTGTCAAGCTCTACGAAAACGCCGCCATCTCGGCTCTCGACGATGCGATGAGCAACTTTGAGGGTGATGCAGACCACGTATACAATGTACAGGGTTTCAAGGGGTTTGCCTCTGCCCTGACGGCCGATTCCCTCGAGAAGCTACAGAACCACCCCGATGTATGTCGCTTCATACAACAGCCCTTTAAGCAAGCTGTCTTAGGTACTTTATAAGGTTCTAATAGTTCTATAGGTGGAGTTCATCGAGCAGGATGCCATCATGAGCATCAACGCATACACCACCCAGTCTGGCGCTCCTTGGGGTATTTCTCGTCTATCCCACAAGACTGGTACGAGCGGCTACGTATACGACTCTACCGCCGGCGCCGGTACTTGTGCTTACGTCATTGACACTGGTATCTACACTCAGCACACGGTACGCATGACTCGCGTAGTGGACACGAGCTACCTACGAATAGTGACTAACGGGATATACAGGAGTTCGAGGGTCGTGCTACATTCGCCGCCAACTACGTCGATAGCTCTAACACTGACGGAAACGGTCACGGTACCCACGTTGCCGGCACCATCGTAATACTCTCTGACCCTTCAAATTTATTGCTCCATATGCTAATACATTCGTTATAGGGCAGCAAGACTTACGGTGTAGCGAAGAAGACTCAGCTCTATGCTGTTAAGGTCCTCGACTCCAGCGGCTCCGGTACCACGTCTGGTGTCATTGCCGGCATGAACTATGTCACTTCCGATGTGAAGACTCGGTCTTGCCCCGCCGGCGCTGTCGCTAACATGTCTCTCGGTGGCGGTTCCTCTTCATCTATCAACAGCGCCGCTAAGGCTATGATTAACGCCGGTGTCTTCCTTGCCGTTGCTGCTGGCAACGACAACCAGAACGCCGCTAACTCTTCTCCTGCCTCTGAGCCCAGCGTCTGCACTGTTGGTGCCACCACCAACGCCGATGCTCGTGCCAGCTACTCCAACTACGGTTCCGTGGTCGATATCTTCGCCCCTGGCACCAACATCCTTAGCACATGGAAGGGCGGTAGCACTGTAAGATTATTTTAATCTCTACTACCTAGTTGGTATCCGCATTTAGGCTAACGTCCATTCACAGAACACCATCTCTGGCACTTCTATGGCTACCCCTCACATCGCTGGTCTCGGTGCTTACCTCCTGGCCCTCGAGGGAAGCAAGTCTCCCCAGGAGCTCTGCAGCTACATCGCATCCACTGCCAACTCGGGCGTCCTAACCAGCATTCCGAGCGGAACTGTCAACAAGCTCGCCTTCAACGGAAACCCCAGCGGTTAAACGGGGATGTTTACTACCAGCATATCTTCCTTCGTTGACACGAGGTCATCGGGGTTGGTGTCTCCCTTCGATGCTCCCTAACATAAATCAATACGACCAATATTCCTTCACGCAATAGTAATTCGAGGTCGCGGAAATGGTGGGCATTTTTGGGGCATGGTCTTGGCAACTCTTTTTGTCTCCACGGCTATTCGAATAGCCTAGGAAGGTAGAAGTACATACGCAGCTATTGGTTGTTTTCCCCTGGGGCTTGGTTCACATCTTCCATACGAATTAGCCGCGAACAGAGTAATTGACTAATGCATTGAGCAAATCGCCTCATCGGCCGTCATTCGAGTATAACCAGATGAGAACAATCCCTGAAACACGATGTGCTAGACGTGAATGATGTCTTTCAATATAATAAAGAAAATTGACTACGCACTCTCCGAATAGGCACTTAGGGGAACTTTGGTGAATCCCTCCTTTAATGCGGTTCGGCATTTTGAACCTGGGGGATCTGCATGCATACGAGAGAGGACATGTTTCGCAATTATTAATAAAGCGAGGTATCAGGTAGGCATAATTTCCACCGGGATGGAATGAACACGATCCTAACCTTGCAATAGAGAATACTATAGGTGCATGAACGAGCTTACTTACCAGTATGCACCCAAGACAGGGCTTCCTAAGATCGGATCGTACGGCACTTGTACTCTAGGTAATGTGTCGATGATGTAATCTGTCGGACGGATACGATGATGTATCTTTTATCGGATATTCTTCATCGCCAAGGTAAGCCCCTCCAAACGCCATCATCGCGCCACCAACCTAGAATATCAGATATGTTCATAACGAAAGGCACCATCGATGTACCTAGAGTCATCTTTTACACCACGACACAATTAGCGACCTTTAATAGCATGAGGCAAAAGACGGGATATTCGAAGTAAATATGCATTTGAAACTACTTACTAGATACCTAGGTAGGTGTGGGTAGTTTTCATTTGTTAGATCTATGATTAAAAAAAGGGCATGAGTTTGTCCAAGTAAGAGATAGTTCCTAGACTTTTACAAACATATCGACTTAGTTTCACGGTGGTCAATAATCTAACCGTTAACCTAGTTAAGATCAGCTCAAGAGAATTCACTCTTAAGTAGTAAGAGGTTGAAATATGATCAGTTTATAATTTGTGCTTCGATTCAGGGGTAGCTCATTCTCCCCTATTGTGGGGCCTTTGTACGACTGATGGATAGGTACCCCGCTAAGACCCGATTTCGGGGATAAACAACTTCCCCATTAGGTTGATACGTAGAGCGCTAGGACACCCCACTTTCGTCTGGACCCCTGTTAGAGCATATTGTCTAAACTCACTAAAATGACTTGAACATGGGACGACCCTTGAAAAGCAACTCCTAAACAGAAACCTCGAACGCCTATCGAACGATTTTGGTGTCTTATTATCTTGTAATACGTCTTTCATTCACGCTCTTTTGCTATCATTTCTCTCTATTCACACCACACGAGCTGCGGTCTCAGTCTGTTTTTCGATTACTTACAGTTGACAAATATTCCTTATCCCCGCGATTTGAATTACTCCGCCAGGCCAATATTGATTGGTTTCTTACTTCTAAAAATGGCGCGGCATCTTTCCGTCATCGTCATTCTGGCGATCGCGGGTTTCTTAGTTCTGTCTTTCATGACATCCTTTGGTGACAAAGCAGGACCAATACGACAAGTATTGCCAGTAAAAGGTGTTACTGAACGACCACCGGCCGATCCAGCACCGATCGCACCGATCGCACCGAATGTGAAACCAGACACAAATTTGAAGACGGAAGTTAAGGAAGACGTGGAAGCAGATGCGAAACCAGATCTGAAGTCAGATTTCGCCCCACTGCCAGGCGATATCCTGACAGGAGGCGCAATAGCTCCAAAGCTAGAGAACGCAACTCTGAAGTATGCGCCTAGATTTCCTACTCTTGTTACCCCTAATCCCGCAGCGAGCGATGTGCGTGTTGTTGAGAGCATTCCTATATCCTGCCCGAATCCAAAGGGCGCATACTGAATCCGCTAACCTGAGTTAACTTCGTGCAGGGCCGAACTTGGTCGCTCGACCTGGAAATTCCTCCATACCATGATGGCACGTTTCCCCGATAAACCCACTGCAGACGATTCTCTTGCGCTGAAGACATTCGTCCAATTATTCGCGCGGCTATATCCATGCGGCGACTGCGCGCGGCACTTCCAGAAGCTCCTCGCCAAATACCCGCCACAGGTCAGCTCACGTAATGCGGCTGCGGCTTGGGCCTGCTTCATGCATAACCAAGTCAACGAGAGGCTGAAGAAGCCTTTATTCGATTGTAACAACATTGGCGATTTCTATGACTGTGGCTGTGGGGATGATAAGAAGGAGACAACAGAAACCATAGGAGAGCTCAAGTTAGAGAAGGAAGGATTGACTAAAGGTGGTTGATTGTAACATCGTAAAGTATCGTCATTTTGTTTTTGGGAGCATAGCGACCGGAGTTTCGAGTTTCTGGTCATTAGTCTGTATGGAAAACATTTGACAGACAACTCCTCGACTTGAGGAATATTTATACTTTATTGTGCAGATTGGCTATTCCTTTATGGTGCGCTTTTCCTAGATTCCCGTTGACCAGGTAGATATTCATTACTTTGTAGGTAGGTAGATATCATCTATTCGAAATCATAAGACCAGTCATATAAAACTATTAGATATCTATTATCCAATCTAGTTCATTGGGATAGGGACAAGAATTAGGATATGCTTAAGCTGAAATGAAGCTACATTACGTACATATGCAGGTACCGAGGGCTGCGAGGGGAGATAAGCGGGATTGCACGTGACTTTAATGAATCCTTGCCAAGGCTAGTGGTAGGCTAGTGGTAGGTCCCGACTTCCGATCTAACTGTCCAGCCTTGCGCGTCGGAGCTGCCTTGAGCTTTGGTCAAGCAATCAACGAAGCTGTTCCTGCCCTCATCAATTAAACATCCTCAATTACGTACCTTGGTATTCCTAAACCAACAACCGAACTTTAACACACAATTGTGGATTTCAACCCTTCATCCTTTCCGTCGACCTTCCCCAAATCATCCTCAACATTTACAATATGGAGTTCGGCAACAAAGGCGTCTTAAGTGAGGGTATGTGAAGCTAAGACTCAGCTTTCAAGAGCTTCAACTCAAGCGCGGAATTGGACTAATGACTATCCGAAATAGATGGAATCCATGTGGATATGGACAGATTAAAGAAGGGCGAGGTCAAGTACGTGATAGACTAGGCGAACGGAATATTTTGAGAGTTGGCTAATCATCTCGTCCACTAGTCTCGGTACCTCGATGTGAGCTCGCTATTAGGAACTGTTTATAACGATGATAGAGAAATTAATATGGCGATAGCATGGCCGTCACATTCAAGGATGGAGTTATCCTTGGTATGTTTTATGTCTTTAATTACACTGGCTCTTCCTGTCATGAAAATATACTGATAATGCTACCTGTTCCTCAGGCGCCGATTCGAGAACTACTACCGGAGCATACATCGCGAACCGAGTTACAGATAAGTTAACCCAAGTGCACGATACCATCTGGTGCTGCCGGTCAGGCTCCGCCGCCGATACGCAAGCCGTCGCGGACATAGTACAATACCAACTGGGCATGTTTGCCATGAGGAACGGCAAGCCCCCCACCACCCAGACAGCAGCGGCTATCTTCCAAGAGGTCTGCTATTCGAACAAGGACCAGCTGAGGTAAATAAAACTTCGCCGCATTATCTGTGAGCATCCATGAGAGCAAGATGATGCTGACAAGAATGTCTTACAGTGCGGGTCTCATTATCGCGGGATGGGATGAGCGACACGGTGGTCAGGTCTATTCTATTCCCCTCGGAGGTTCCCTACACAAACAGTCCTATGCAATTGGTGGTTCTGGTTCGACCTACATCTACGGTTACTGTGATTCAAACTGGAAGGAGGGCATGGAGGAGAAGGACGCCGTCAACTTCGTCAAAGGTGCGCTGCAGGAAGCGATCAAGTGGGATGGTAGCTCGGGAGGAGTTATTCGTATGGTTGTCCTGACAAAGAAGGGCGCGGATCGACACTTGTATCTGCCCGACGAGAAGTACGAGGTGCGACATTAATAAGATACGGTATTAGAGGCGGCGACGTGGGGTGATAGACCCAATGGCGGGTTGAGGGTCGAGCATGAGCATGAGCATGACTATGACTGTGCCTACCTGTACAATATTACACAAATCCACGTGTCGCGAGCGCCGCAGGCTGCACGGCGGCCGCGACGGTTATCTCTGAGCTTAATAGGAGCATTGCAGTGAGACCATCAGGTTTCCAAATTCTTGGGTAATGGGATCGCCAATCCGTGGCGACGTTCCGTGAATGGACTTCTCTCTAATGCTGCAGGGTTGGGGGAATTTACTGTGATCGAATCCTTGGTGGCACGCACACAATCAGGCGGTGAGCAAAATACACGCACGGCATCGAACAAATCATCGAGCCCGGGCCGTCACATGCGCGCAAAGAAGACTTCGCCAATGAGAAATGGCATATGTCCGATAGAAGGTGGGCGCAATGGTTGGGCGATTTCCCGATACTAACCCTACCTCTCCCGTCCTTGCTGATAGGATAAAGGTTACATTTCGGGGCGATCCGGGTTACGTACATAATAGGAGCTGTTTTCTTTCGGCTCGTTGATTCGTGCCGCGAAATGGCGTTATCGTTCCCGAGGACGGGTGAGATACTAGTATGGGCATCAAGCTTTGATTTAAGCCTCTGCCAGATGAGACCGTTTTTAGAGCTTTGCAAACTGTGCGAATCTATCTATGTAGGTTGTATAATATCCGCCTAGATCGTCGTCATCGGTGTTACGCTGGCGATGCCTGACGCACGGCGTGGTTGGATCATAATCACCTACCTAATGTAGGTACCTCTACGCTACACTGCTGCTCGAATGTATATACGGTACCTAGTATGCGGTTGAAGCTACAGCGGGAATCGCTTCCCATTTTTCCATCCGGGCTCGCGTGTGGGAGTGTTTATTTCCCTTTTAGCCTAAAGCGCGTTGAGACCTGAGTGGAGGAGCCGCTTCGAGGTCTTGGCGGACTTGCGAACAAGCAAGTTGTTGACGCAAGGCGGATTGGGTTGGGGGTGTTGGAACCAAGATGTGTTATGAGCCTTACGTTTGAGTACACCGTTTCTCTTCCCTCACCCTTTTCGAAGAGGTGAAGTGAAATGAATTTAGAGAAGACGGGAGATTATTAGACGAAAGGCCCGTCCCGTAAATAGTTCTTTTTTTACTTTCTTACCTATCTCACCCCTTTTTTTCTCTTTTTTCGATTCGTGGGGGTTGAGGGAAGTATATATCAATAGTCGTGGATATGTGCAGATTCTAAGACATACATACATCGAAAGAGAGAGAGAGCTACCTAGGTATGTAGGTAATATGATGCCATCAGGTAACAAGACGTTTCTGGGTCATTGGGACGCCCCCATGTCAGCCTCCCTCCACAATGTACAGCGTACGTAAGGGTTAGAAGGTAGGGGGAATGAACGCCCATCACTGCCAGACTCTTGGCACGGGGATAGAGTGCGGGATAATATTAAAGTACATATCGGTACATAGATGAGATAGGATGAGATAGGATGAGATATAAAGTATTATGGTACGTTATGACGGTATTTTTAATCTACCCGATCTACCTTCACGACGGTATACAGATTGATCTATACATTTGCAAGATACGATCCTAGATACGATCCTGTAAATTGCCTGTAAAAGATCTTGGTTAGAACCGTGGTATAAGCTTCGAAGGATTTGCAGAAAGTCAAGGCAAAGATCGGCAAGCACTTCTGTTAGTCTAGAAGCGGTCCCTGAATCGTGAACGCCGAGTTGGGTCCGGACTAGACGAACGGCGGTCCCGGGTCTACCGGAGGCACGTTGACTACTTACCTAGTAGGTACTAACTAGACCGCTCGTCTTTTTAGTGCGGGGTTTGAGGAGCTGAGAAACGCTGTTATGTTCTAAGATTGTTACGAGAAAATTACCTATCTCTATATACAATCATTTGGTCGGTGAAGATCATTGGAGTTCATAGGTACTTGGGCAGGTAGATTGTAATTCGACTGACTCTCATTCTTCAATAGCTACCTAGGCTGGGGTAGTGGAGATTAAGACTTACGTAGGTGTAAATATGAATGTCTCTGAATATTAACGTTAAAAGCATGGATGTGAGGCTCGGTGTAACTTACTACGAAGGAAATAGGCTCGCTGAAGAGTAGAAATGACGTATGCTTAATACTTAGTACATTCTTTTCTTGTGCCGAGATGTGCTTATACCTTATATACCTACCTAGGTACATGGTATGTTATAATAGCGATAGCTGCTACTTTCAATATCCTTCTTTCGTAATATTTTGATAGCTATTCATTGTCAGTTGGTAACGTACTAAATAGGTAAAATATAATTATCTTGACTTAAGTAAGCTTTAGGAGGGGTTGTGTAAAAACCTCCCCCCTTTTCACCCCACGGCAAGAAACGACCTACCGGAACGGAGTAAGCGTTTTGAAAATCCCACGAGCCAACGGGCGTGAAGCTTGTAGTGCATTAGTTGCTGACCGTGGTCGTGCACAGCCTCAACCCCCCTTTCCTATTCCGGTAAGATGCCATTATTACCTGCAGCTCGAGCCGGGTCTTAATGGATCCTATCTGCCATCCATCCATTCCAAGCAGCGCGAACACGTGCGAGACGAATGATTAGATGGCGGGTTTCATGGGAAATAGAACAAAGAGTTGTCAATTTTTCGCTACTATGCAGTGCCTAGGTACCTAGGCTGCTAGGTAGGCATTGATTTCCAGCTGGCCTATCGCACAACATCTTGCCGTCCTACCATCCCCCCTTTTTTACAGACTCAATGTTGATAGCTGATATTACTTTAATACGCATTTTCTTTTGCAGCCGCTCTCTCCTTATTAAAATTGAGTTGATGATATCTTGTTACCCCTTGATTCTTTTTTCTCCTTCGCAATCTCTTATTGCTCCTCTGACCGTTTGCTTTTGAAGCTGGCGTTTTGATTCGAGGAATGAGATATGTCCATATTCTGTGGCTTGGAGTGTTTTATCTATTTTAATGATTGAATGAAGCACGCAACCGGGGGGTAACCACTATTATTACTTATTATTATTATGCAAAAGGTTGCAAAATTGTCATTTTTGGTTTTGTACAACTTGGCAGCTTGGGCAGGAATAATTCAATCTGGTACTGCTGCTGCCGTTGCTGCCGTTGCTGCTGTTGCTACTTGAAATCATTTGTCCCTTCATTTCTATTTGATTTTATTTTCCGCTAGCAGTACCAACTTGCTTGTTGCTTGCTTGCTTGGTGGTAACTTCCAAGTTCTCTCCTTTTATGTCATACATGCGCATCTTCCGCACCTTCAATCAAATATTTCGGTAGTCCAAGCACCTATCAGACAAGCACACCCCGGTTACAGACGCCGAGACATCTGAGGCTTTGACGTATGCCTGTACTATCTAGCGTATCAATCTTCGCCTCCCGCCACTACAGTACGTACCACCACTATTGCTACCGATCTTGAAACTGGCAACCCCCGACCTCCAGCGGCAACCTTACCAAAACTTTACCATTCCAAGGTTATATTGCCTTACGTACTACTAACTTACTACGACAATCTCAACTTTTACAACCATTTTCACACTTACAACAACACTACCACTGCGACTACAACGTCGACACGTTTCCCCAATTCTTTCTCAACAATCGTCTTCCACATATTGTTGACGATATTGGAAGATTGTTGCGACCGCGATATAATCTTCATTAATCATACTTCCCTACTAGTGTATAAACGCATTCACTCTTAATTCATTATCTCACTTTGCTCACTTCCTGTTGCGCGACTCCGAAATTGAGGCTGTCCGCTGCACTGCGCCGACGTCCGGTAATCTTTGCTGATCTACCAAGAAAAAAAAACGCCTACGCCCACGTCTCGCATCGCATCCTATCATTCGATAGCGACCGAGCAAGCAATAATAAATAAACGCTTACAACGTCTGGACAACGTCATCCTGATTTAGCATTAGCATAGGTAAGCATCAAGATCTTTAATTTTTAAATCCTCTCTTCCCCTCTCTCGCGCTCCCATCCGGAATCCGTATCTATATCCACATCTATTTTTCGGTCCGTTAGCCATCCTAAGATGGGAACTCTGGTTTCGCCTCGTCTCTTTTCATTCTCTTTCAGCCAGCCATAAATCAGCCTCTATTCGGATATTTCCAACCTTGCGATATGTATTGGTAGTTCCAGCCAGTCAAGATGGCTAGAACATGGTGAATTCTGTGAAATGTGCCTTATCGTCGGACGGCGATGCTGGTGTTGGGCTGTGTCTGCGTCTATCTGGTCACTCAGCGCCCTTGCCCGCCTCTGGATCTAATTAGTCATTCCTTATTCGCTTGGCTGCTCATCTATTTTGTCTATTTTATTTATTCATTGAGTCACTTGTGTCTTCTCTTCATCAAACGTGGGATCGGAGAGTGTGTAACTATTGCCACTCGGGACCACGGTGAGAATACGGCCGTTCCATGTTCCATACTTAGTTCACCAATTTTTTTTCTATTTTTGATTTTGGCCTTGTCTGTCTTCGTCGTGGACCGTTGGGCTGTCCAGATTGTGGCCCGAACGTTTTCTTGTTTACCCGTTTTTCCCCACTCAGCGGACCCAGACCATTCTTCGTATCTGTCAGACCAAGGTCCAAGACAGTCAACGAGTCGATGTCTACCGCGACCGACTTGATTTAACGGACTGACGACTGAGCCGAGCTTGATCGAGTCGCGCATCCGAGGCTTGACAGAGAAAAAGAAAAAGAACACAATATAACAATACAAGACAATACAATACAATCTTAGATTGATCCACTAACTTGTATACCCGCTTCTTTCAGGCATTCTCTAGATAATCCTTTGCTACTAGGTAGACACGACACCCTCACCACATAATAATCGACCCGCCAAAACCACCAAACCACCAACCCACCACATCTGCTATACTCCCCCAAGGCGATGCAATGGCTGCTGTAATTGGAGACTTCGTTACCGACCACGCCCGGCTGCACAACATGATTGCAGCTTCTGGTTTATCACACGAGCATTCGCGACCTCGAGAATCTCCATTTCGATCTGACTCAAGAAGCCGACCGCGCGAAGTTCCATCCCAGGCAGCTTACTCGCCTGCTAATTCCGCAACATCATACCGATCTTCGACATCGAGTGCGACACCCTCTAAACGATCTTGGGAATCAACAGAAGCCGGAACTGAGCAGAAACATATTTCGTCTACCGGGGGTGCCTCTCGATTTCCTACGCCGCCCGATTCTTCTTCGCCGAACCCCGCTTCTGAACGCGTAAGAGCACAGGATGCGAGTCCCTCGTCGTCATCAGAATACATGGCATCGGAAACCCAGACGACTGCACCAGCAGCAATCCCTACACCTGGTAGCTCTACACCGACGCCGACCCAGCAACAACCCTCTCCAGAATCAGACACATACACGTCGCCGACCCCGCGGGTTCACGCTGACGACGCCCCACCCCCACAAGAAGGACACATCATCTACGTGCGCGACCTGGCGCACATCCAGAGCCTTGCTCGTGCCGATCTGATGAACGGTGGAAATGGCCCGGGCATACTAAACGATCCACCGCTCCAGGCAATGAAGTATGAAATTAGCCAAATGCCCATAGGTGATATTATCGAAATGGTCGCTGCTCTCTTAACAAAGATTACAACTACCAATGACCTTCAACACGATGCTTTGCATAGGAATGCAACACACCAGCAGACGGCAGCCACCCACAACAGTGAAGGAACCTCGATGAGCCCTCTCAGCAGCTCCGTCCTTGCGTTCCATGGGAAAAACGTTCCCGCAATCACGATTTTAAGTTATCTAAGTAGGATTCATAAGTACTGTCCGACTACCTACGAGGTCTTCCTGAGTCTTTTGGTTTACTTTGATCGGATGACGGAACGGGTCAACACTATGGTAATGGAGGCTGAGGCAACACGAAGGCAATCTCACTCTCAGCAGCCTCGCGTCTCGGTGGCAGAGACGCAGGTTGATCAGACACCCGACAGTGAAATGCGAGATGAGGATAGCGATGGCGACGAAACCGAATCTGACCTTGTCGACAATGACACTGACGAGAAAGCCAAAGTAAAGAGGCCTAGGGAAAAGAGAGTCCGGGAACCGCAACCGCCTCCGTCTGCCGCCCCAGCCACTTATTTTGTTGTGGATAGCTTCAACATACATCGATTGATAATCGCAGGTGTCACCTGTGCGAGTAAATTCTTCTCGGATGTATTTTACACCAATTCGAGATATGCCAAGGTATGTAACTTGCACAGGCGCTTCCCTGCATTCCGTTTCCTAGATCCCGGCTTCGGTCCTAACCATATCGGCAACGGTACTTTTCATTACTTCCCCTTCTCCCACAACTTAACGATTCGTTATTCGATGAACCTAATCTCATGTGTGTATTACGTAGGTTGGTGGTTTGCCATTAGCTGAGCTCAATTATCTTGAGCTTCAGTTCCTGTTATTGAACGATTTCCGCCTCGCGGTACCTGTCGAAGATCTAGAAGCATACGCTACGATGTTGGTCGAATTCTATGCGCGGGAAGTGGTTGCACAACGTTCTCGACCCCTCAGCGGGACCGAATGAGTTCATGAATCATAGAATTTGGGATAAGACATCTTTGGAATACATTTTTACCGGTGGAAGAGACGCCCTGCTTGGACTATATCCATGCATACTAGCACGTAATCACGATAAATGACATGCGCTGGCCACATCGCTAATGTTGGGGACTCGCTGGAGCCGCGGAGTATGAAAGGACGTCGAGTCCAGGGTGGAAGAGACCTGGACTCCGACGTCGTAAAGATCAGGTGGCTATTGTATCAGATTTATACGGGGCATACCCTGGGGACGAAATTTTTTGGGGGCCGGGCTGGTGTCCTCTCCCTTTTTAGAAGAGTCGGGGGAGGCGGGAAAGCAAATAGGGGGGAGAGTTATTATGTGCTCATATTATTTGATACCCGGATAGATTTTTACGTCGGGCTTAGCCTCCCTCCTTATGAGATTAATTCGGGACCCGCACTTTTTGGGAGTTTGTGTAGTTGGTTTTGTGATGCGTTTTGTGATGAGTGGTTTGTGGTAGATGTGGTTGATGTGGCGAGAAATGCAGGATATGTCTCTGGAGGTTTGTGAAATGGTAAGGTATTTCTCAGTGCAGGCTGATGATTGTGAGAGTGCGCCGGTGCTTACCTAAAGGGATCAGGTGGTACACGGAGGAGGTTTATGCCTTTCTTGAGTTCCATTGGGATACGCAAGTGCGCATGAGGGTTTGATTGTTCGTGTCGAAATGGCTAGGGCAAAATATGGAGACAAAGTTGAAGGGCCGGGCTGGTCCTTGGGCACTAGGTATAGATCTTAGATTGGATGGAACCTTATGTATATGTCATAAATATTGTTCGACCTTTCAGGTGTGGCGTTGGTGATTGAAGCGGGAGTGTAAGTGCTAAGGTATTGTGACACCCCTATTTTCCAATTGACGCATTTCTTCGCCCTCGCCTAGGTAATCTAATTCCCATGTATGAGGAATCGTTAGTTATACCAAGAATAGGTACCTAGGCAGGTATGTATTCGATCTATTATATGTCCACTCACCTCAAAATCGATCGATATCAATACCTACCTAGGTAATCTATGGCTCCTCGGATGCTATCTGATTCAACCACGTCTCCAAATCGCATATAACCCCATGCGCCAGTTTATCATCCATGACACACTCCTGCCAACTCCCCGAAACACACAACTCCTCGCCCTTTGTCGTGACCAGCGAGATAACAAAGGCAGCACTATTAACCTTTGCACTCATAACAAATTGAGAGCGGATGATATTCCACGTCTGGATACCACCGCCATCCCACGGCGTCCCGAACGTCCTCCCGTCGACCTCGCCCACATTATTCACAAACCAGGAATATACCCGCGGCCGCCGCGCCGCGCGACTTATCTGCTTCTTCCAGTCAGGGATCCACCGCATGAGTCTCACGTTATCGTTCTTCATCCCCCGATCCAGCTTCCGTTGTATCTCGCGCTGAACCTGCGCGGACACGAGCCAGACTTGGTCTAACGCGTCGGGGGGCAAGGGGGGATATCCTTCGATCGAGAGATCGAGGGTCGGACGCATTTCCCTCACGAGTTCCTCGTCGAAGGTGTGAGACATGTGCGTTGTGTAATTCGCCATTGCCTGATCTGCCTCGAACGACGGGCTTGATGGGATCAAGGGCCGGAGGTTTATTGCCGTAATGCTCTTAAACGCCTTTGCTGTTTCCTCATGAAGATGTGAGGCTAGTGAGGCGAGCATGAGGCCGTGCAGGAGACCGGCTATGCTGGTTTTGTGTTCGCGACATGCGGTGCGGATTTTGAGAACTTCGGGGGCTTCTATGGTGAAGGTGCGGATGTTGGTCTTGGAAGGTGTGCTTTGGATTGGTACCCACTTTGCTAGAGATGCTTCTCTGTGGAAGATGGATGGTTTGAGTTCCTGCCAGAGCGTCTTGATAGCGAATATTGGTGTAATTGAGAACTTTGTGACCTTCTCAATCGGCGGGGGAAGTCTAAGAGATGACTTGGGTAGTTTTAGGATATCGCCGTCTATGAACTGGCGCGCATGGTGTGCGTTGGGTCCGTTTTGGTTGTTGAGGTATTCTAGAATATTTTGGTGGAAAACCTTTCCACTCATACCGTCGTGATGAAAACGGCTAAATATGAATATCAACTCCACGAAATAAATGCCCTGCTGCCATAGCACGATAACTCTCCATCCTGGACGCTTGTCAAGTTCGGGAAACTTGGCATCTAGCTCATGGACGATCATAGCATCCAAGGCTTTACTAATATCTTCATCGTTTTCATCGAAGAACCCGAATTCAATGTGATTGCTTAAACGAACACTTTCTAGTTGAACCCACCGAGGAGCGTTTGAATCTGCGTTCGCAACGCCGACTTGCAAAATTCGATTCCTCAAGATGGCTATGGCGATGGCAGTGTGAATCATATTTATCAGATCTTTACGTTGAAGTATGAATGGGAATGGGTAAGGCAATCTGTATCGACATGAAACAATAGTGCCACGATAGTGATCCAGCAAATACATCGCCAGCTGGTATTTTTCGCTGTATTTGTTAGTTATCTTCTAGACAAGGGCAGTTGACATTGGACTCACCTGTTCCCAAGACGACGGAGTATCTTAGTTTTGGTGCCATTTTCAGGCGACTTTTTCCTCAGAAGAGGCATCGGATATTAGTTCAAAAATGTTACTAGTCGTCACAAGTTGAAGCGGATCAATTGTTGAGGTTGGGTTAAAAAGACCATAGAGGCTGTGAACCCAATACTGTTGGTTACACAACGAACGGCAAAGAAGTTTGACGTGATCCATTTTCTTTACCTACTAGGTACCTAGGTATACAACATTCTCCAACAATACGATCGAAAAATAATGAGGCCGGGGATTATATGTCATAGCTCTTGATATTAGAGATTATTTTCAAATTTACTTAAATTCAATAACTCTATAATCAAACGGGGCATCCTTGTGTTGATGGTTTGTCTAAGATCAGGTAACCCTGAATTTCTGTGTAACATAAGAAGGATACTAACTAGCAAGGGAAAACCACTCAATCGGGAATATCTCCACGTCTTCATTGGACAGATTCAAAATAGGCTAGATCGGTACAAATAAGCGCATGCTTAGATAATACACAAAGTTTTCTGAATTACTAGGTAAGTAGTAGCGCAGAAGTTCATGGTAGTTACTGTTTCCATGGACTTGACAACATCTAAAAGCCTTAGAGGTATTTCCAAGGGTTTTTTCAGAAAATGATAAGAACGCTTCGGGGGAGCCCTGGAGGTCATATGATTCTTTACTCTAAAACCAACCTTAATGATCTGGTGTTAGTAAGCAGCCATATGGCGAAGTTGGATCTTACACTACGGCCCCCTTTTTGTCTCACACTGTATTTCTTATCCCAGAATACCATGATGATTACCTAAGGTACCTAAATTCCCCAATAACCTCAAGTTGGAAGGATTGTGATATTTCTCGGCTCAATTGTCATCCCCCTCTGATTCACCCTTGGTTCAGGGGTGCTCGAATTATTGCGATCCCAACTACATAGTAGGTACTTATTATTAGGTAGCATAAGAAAATATAGGTATTTTGTCTTACTAAATCTATGACGGGTGGACGTAATTACTCCTCTAGTAGGTGCCTAGGTAGGTATAATAGAACTATGACTTTCTATCATGGTGCTCCCAATTCTCAGTGTATCATGTGTGTCAGGTGGTCGTGATGTATGAGCTTGGCTTCGTGATGTGTGTTCTCCTTGAGTTAGTAGAGGAACAAGACCTGTAAATCATGAACCACTTAGTTTTAGGTAAATGTAAATATGGAGGGTCCAATTTCTGAAAATCTTGATTTAAAAACTTTCGATCCTCTACCTGTCTGTGATTGCGAGAGAGTTTCAGCTTTATAGCATCAACTATCCCCCATTAATGACTACCTAGGTAATTACCTATCTTAAAAATAAAACACGCAAAAACAATATCAGAAGACATGGAGAGCAATATTTTGAAATATGTGGATGATCTCCAGGCAGATGCAGACAAATATCTCGATGCGAAAGAGAGATTAGAGAAGCGATTGGACAGGCCAGTTCTCATATCTCTTCACTTCGTATATAGGGATGAAATGCCCGCCGAGGCGGAAGAAATCGCATCTAAACACGGCCTGGCTCCCTATACCCATATGGAATCGGAGTTGGAATGTTTTCCCTGGAACTTGAGTACCATATTTGGAACCCATAATGAAGCAACTCCTGATCAATTAATACCCTTGTTTAGGACTCGAAGAGAAAATACTTTGCGCGGCCCTCGAATGGCGAATCTCTACCCGCGGTATGGTGACGATGGCAAGCCCGTTGATTTTCATTTCCTAGAGAACTATCACCATCGAACGATCGAGCGTTCGAACTGGACACCTTGGGAGAGCGAGACAGTATGGTGGCCGAATATCGTCGTTCGCCTCGGAGAGGTATATAATGTCATGAACAAGATCGGCGAGAACAGCCCGATTGGCGAGATGAAGTTCTTTGGCTTTCTATCTCGGCCATATATTCACCTTCAAGAGTATTGGATTCTGATCCACGACAAGAGTGTCGGCGTACCTGAAGGTATCGAGACGTCTCAATATTGGGACGAAGAGTTGGGAGACATCGACGAGGCATATGAGAGTCAAGAACTCTATATAAAAGAAGCAATAGACATTTACGAGCAGCGAATGGGGCGGGACGCGATCATGAAGACCCCTGAAGACCTCGTTGCAGTTGACGATGTGGAGACGCTCAGCGATCGCGACAAACGGAGACTCCGAAAAGTAGCCCAATGTCTGAGGAATTGGGGCGCCCGCGTCCCAGTTATACCTCGCGTCGTGAGATGGGCTGTCCAGGGCGAAAGGAATCATAATATGCCTCCTACTATCTTCGAAATTGTCGATCAACTGAACCCGGAACGGTCTTGCAATCATATAGGACCAAGGACATTCCCCGACATCACATTCCATTGAATCTCAGCTACATACCTAGGTAGGTACGGCCACACCTGGGATTAGGAACTTTTAATAAGTTCTATCTTGATTTCATGGCAACGATTCAATGTGCCTATTCTCTACTAGGTAGGCTAGCTAATTATGCACTGCTGCTAGCCTTATAAATATTAATTCTACCACTACCGCCACACCATTCCGTTATATCTCCTTTGCATGTCATATCGCAATCACTCTCAGCAGCTACCGCGGCTCCATTGACTGGTCCATCGTTGTTGCAATAACACTCTTGGCCGTATTCGACACCCATGTAAGCATACCCCTTTCCTGTGCAATAACTCGCGCAGGTTTCGATCGTCATGCTAGGACCTGAGGTTGAAGCACTTGTACTTGCAGTGTTGGTCCCTTTTCCGAGAGCCCTCCCACTTGTCCCTTCTGTGTAGCAACCGAGATATGCGTAGCCGCTGCTGCTAATAGTAATCAAATTATGTGTCGAGACGTAGAGCGTGTTATTCCAGATAGACATCCTCGAGCTCCCGCCACATATCTGAGATGAGTTACCTTTGCATGCCATATTGCAATCTGCCTCAGTGGAGACCGTCGAAGAGTTCTTGGCGGCATTGCCGCAATAGCACTCGCCGCTGTATTCCACACCGAACAGGGCGTAGTTTTTAGCCTGGCAGTATGAGGCACAGGATTCTACTGTCATAGAGTCGCTGGTGTAGGAGGCTTTTGACAATGTGCGCCCATCCGAGCCGCTGTCGGTGTAACAGCCGAGGTAGGTCGCTGTTCCATTTGCTGTTGTTAAAACGCTGGTGCTTGCCTTAGCCGATTTACTTGATTGAGTAATGTTCCATACACTCAATTTGGAGCTTCCGCCGCAGACCTCTAACACATCTCCCTTGCACTTCATATTACACTCGTCATCATCGGCAATAATGGTGCTCGTAATAGTGTTGCCACAGTAACACTCCTGAGAATATTCTGTTCCGGCGAGCGAAAAACCCTTGTCCTGGCAGTATGATGCGCACATCTCATTTGTCATAGCTGTCGTATTGGATGTGCTGGCCCCTGAGAGTGCCCTGCTACCGCTCGTCTCGCCAAAGCAGCCCAAGTACATCGCGGTACCATTGTTAATCGTAGTGCTGTCAACTACACGCGCAACAACAGAATATGAGGCGTCATTCCAAACAGTCAGTAGACCAGGTGCACCGCACCACTCCGTTGAATTACCAGTACACACCATTTTTGGCGTGTCTGAGCATTCCTCTAAATCTGCGCTAATAGAATTACCGCAATAACATTCTCTGGCATATTCGAGACCTGCTAGAGGATAGCCTTGAGTCTTACAGGTCGAGGTGCAGTACTCGATGGTCATATTGCTAGCCGAGAAAGAGTATCCGTTCAGGACCCTCGGATTACTGTCTGCTACACAGCCGGCGTAAGCAAAAGTACTTCCGCTGAGACTGTCCCCTACAGAAGGATCAAGCATAATAAATGGTCCTGGTTCGTATATATCGTTGGTAGTAGGTGTATCATCAGGACACTCAAGCTGAACTGCTCGTTCGGGACCGGTTGTGACGACATTGCACCCAGGGAGACAATCTATCATTCCTCTGACGTCTTCGTTGACTATTTGTTGACGTTCCGGGCAGTTATCTGCGTGGTAAGGCGTTTGTGATTTTGCCAGTGGTGGACATTTCGAGATTTCGCCATTGAAACTAGCATCATTGATACATAAGTCTACCGCTTCCTTTAAGACGGTCTCATTCCACCCATTTAAGAAATCGCCGTGGAAACCAAAGCCCGTGGGATCGCCTTGCGAGAACACGAATCGTCCGCCTTCCTCCTTTTTTACGTCATTTACGCCGTAGAGAACCTCGTAAAACAGATGTATTAGCTGTCGGGGATGTGAAGGGGGGCAGACACCGTTGTCGATTCCTGACATGTAAGCAACATGAGATTGATCAGTTTGGTAATCTCGCCCATCCCAGCATGTTGGAAAGTGAATTTGAGCACGGAGACCGTTGTCGCAGTCTGTTACAAGCATATGATTCTGTTCTGGCGTGCCACCTGAGCTGCTAAGACAGGCGAAAGACACGCGATCGGATATTAGACGCCCTGCATGGTTATTATCTGAATAAGTGACGGAGGTCGTGTCGTTCGAGCGAAGATAAGGGTCTCCTGATACCATCCTAAAGCCCGGAGGAAAGGTCTCGATATTAGAGGCGTTCTCGCCTCGTCCAAGATAGTAGACGACAGTCCCGCTGTTAGGGACTTCCTCGAAGCTTCCGTTGGTGTGCTCATAGTAGAGCTGTGGCGTCCAGTAGGCTGACTTGTCGTCTTGGATCTCGCACGAGGTGCATCTAGACTCGAGGAGTTCTTCATAGGTGTTGGAAAGGCCGAAATTGCTTGCGCCTGACACCTTGTGGACGTGAGCGGAGACCTCGCCGGGTGATACGTTCGGATCTAGGCGACCTGTCTGGATGAGGCTGCATGACATGCGCCAGTAGGCATCAGCCCCAGGAAGGTAGGTCGACGATGCTGTTAATATGCCTAAAAAGGCATTTCTGGAGTTGAGCATATTGAAAACAGATGTGCTAATACAGTCAAGACAAAGTCAACAATGGAAGAGGACTTCACCCTAAACGGAAGAGGCTCATAAAAATAAAGGGGAGAAGAAACTTTAAGTATGCCGTACGCGCCACAACGAGTACATGGGTTAATGACTCTGTCACAACTTCGCTTCGCTCTTGGATAGCTAAACAATATAGTCTATATCTTGGCATCATATAACGTGAGATTCATAATCTTGTCGCGAGAGGTTCGGCCGAGAATCGGCCCCGTGTGCTCTTAGCGAGGTCACGAAGATGCGAAAATCCATAGCTCTGGGTCTAAGAGCCTAGAGCTACGCCGTCAATCAGCGGTCGAGACCTTTGATAATTTAGTAGCCGTGCCTCACCGAAGCAGTCTTGCTGTCCGTGATGCGATAGAGTTTCGGGAAGAGAAGCACGAACCGGTTAGCGCTTAGAGATATAGAGCACGTGAATTTCGTATAGATTTGAAAAATAAGTATGATTGGTAGCAAGTACGATTCTGTTGGACCTCATCCTAACCTGGACTTCCATTTTAGTCAATGTTTAGCAAGCGAGATCTGGAGATGGCCTTGTTGGTCTGGCACCTAGCTGGGTGTGCGAGTCAGGTAGGCAGGGTACTACGAGAGTTACCTACCTACCTAGGTACATATATGCATGTTCTGATTGCACGACTCCCAGGTACCCTACCAAAGCCTCTGCTATGGCCCTTATCTCGACGTAAAGTAGCTTTTTGTTCCTCCCGAGGAGATCGTAGCAACCTTAGGGTTATCCTTGGTTCCATAGTGAACAGTAGAAACTTGACAGATTTTCTCTATGAAGTATGAATGAGCCGCTGGTACAGATGTAGATGTTAATTAATTTGTTACATTGAAATTCTGTTAGCATGTAATAGTGTCATAGGTACCTACTTATGACAGCAAGGTTGGCGATGCGTGTTGGAGGCACGGTGTGATGGTTTCGTAAAAAAAAAAAATCAATCTTACACACTTACTTGACTAGGTAGGTACCTACGTAAGGTATCCCGGTATATTTCAGGTATGTTTGAATGCTATCATGCCGAGAAAGACGTAGAATCTCGCTCTATGATATCTTTTGGACTATGAGTCTAGAGTTTTCTTCGTCAATAACAAGATCTGAGTTATAAAGTTGAGTGACTACCTGGGTAGGTACCTAGTAGGACCTAAAAAGCAATTTGGGGGGAGGCAAGGAGGGTGGGGGTTTAGGGTAAGGTTTTGTTTAGTGCTGGAGAGATCACCTGGGCATCTTGGAGGGGTAAGTTAGGGAAATCGATAACTCTTATAGCGTTCTATCTACAGGTAAGTACTAGGCAGCGTAACTCTTGTTCTAAATTTATTTATTTTCGATTTCATGTAAGTGAGAAATTTCACATATATAAACTTAATTAAATAATTTCTTAATGATATAAAGTGGATTATAAGCCCGTATCCGTTAACCCGTTAATTTAATTAATATATTAAAAAGTATATTATATAAATATAATATACGACGAAAATATATTATACTTTATAATTTATAAAACGTTATTAATGTTTAATAATAATATTTTTAATATTTAAATAAATATATATTTATTATAAATAAGAATATTTTTTATTTTATAAAGTTTTTAATTTAATAAGTTAAAACGGGAAAACGACGTTAATTTTTATTATTAAATTTTACGGTTTATTAATAAAGAAAAAAATAAAATAAAAATTATATAAATAAATATTTATTAAACTTAAAAAAAAGTATAACTTATTTTTACTTTTTATTAAATATATATTATATGTTATTTATTTTTTACTTTATTTTTTAATTTTACATTAATATTCGAATTTTATAATTTACTTATTTAATTAATTTTTTTATTTTAACATTATATTTAAATAATTATTTAAAATTTAATATAAATTAACGTTAATAAAATTAATCGTTTCGTTATAAAAAAAATTATAAACTTTTAAAGAAAAAATAAATTATTTAATTATTTATATTCGAATTCCTTTTTTTTTTAAATAAATATTATTAAATATTAAAGTTATAAAACTTTTTATTTTAAACATTTAATTTTTAAAGGATAATTAAAAAAAACCGATATTTATTATATTAAATTTTTAACTTATTTTAAAATAAATATATTTCATTTTAATAATAAGTTTTATTTAAGTATAAAATACGATAATATTTAAAAAAGCTTATAAATATAATAATATTTAAATAAAAATTAAACGATTTTTATTAATTATTATTTAAATTTTTAATATTATTTTTTTCGCGATTAATATTTAATTTTTAAAAAAGATTATTTATTAATTTAACGTATTTAATTTAATTTTTTTCTTTTATTAAACGAAATAATAATAATAATAATAATTAATATTAACGTTAAAAAACCGTTATTTATATAATTATCTTAAAATTTTATTAAAAATATATTAAACGTATTAAATTAAGTTTTACATTTTACATTTAAATATAAAATTCTTATAATTTATTTAATAATTTATATTTTTAAACGTACGTTATAACGATTTATATTATATTTTTTTTATTAAAAAATAAAAAAAAAAAAGCGTAAAAAAATAATATTATTAATAAAATTAAACACGTATTTATTTAGTAAAAATTACGTTAAATATAAATTTAATTATTTTAAAATATTATTATTAATATATAATATCGTTTTTTAAGTTTATTAAAAACATTATTTTTTATTTTTTTTTAATTTTTTCGTAATAATAATAATAACGATAATAAAAATTATAATAATTAACTTTATTACGAAACGAAATTAAAAAACTAAAAAATAATAACATTATTACGCGAAAAGTTTTTAATTATTTTTTTTATAAAAAATACGGTATATATATAAATAAAGTTTTTTATTTATTTTATTTTTAAGATTAACCGTAAATAAAACCTTCGCAAAAATTTTACAAGCTTAATTTTAATTTTATAAACTTTTAATTATTAACTTAAAAAAAAATTAATATTTAATAAACTTTTTTTACGTTTAAGATTTAACTTTTTATAATAAAGGTTAATATAAAGGTTTAAAATAATATTTTAAAATTAATATAATAATTTTTTAAAGTTTTAAGGTTCGTAATTTTTTTTTTTTTTTTAAAAAAAAATTTACGTTTTTATTTAATAATAATTTATTTAATAAGCGTTAAAATTATATTAAGTTTTAAACGTTTAATAATTTCGTATTAATTTTAATATATAATTTTTTTATATATTAACATATTTTTTTAATTAATTATATTTTTAATAATATAATATATAATTATTTAATAATATTTATTTTAATATTAATAATATTTAACATTAATTCCCGTATAACATTTTTAAATAATAATTTAAATTTACGTTTTTTTAATTTTAAATATTTTTTAATAAAATAAATAACTTTTAAATATATAATTACTTAATAAATAAATTATTATAAATAAATATTATAATTTATTTTTTTAAATAATAATTATTTATCGTTAAATATTAAGATTATATATATACGTTTATTTAATAAATAAACCAAATTTAATATAAATATTAAAAAGTTAATTATATTAAAAATATATATATTATTATTTATTTTACTTTTTATTATTTAAGTTATAAAATAAAATTAAAAAACTTAAAAATAATAACATTATTACGTAAAAAACTTTTAATTATTTTTATTATAAAAAATACGATATATATATAAATAAAGCTTTTTATTTATTTTATTTTTAAAATTAAAAATTAACGAAACTTTTATAAACTTAATAAGAATTTTATAAGTTAAGTTTTAATTTTATAAATATTTAATTATTAATTTTTTTTTCGATTAAACGTAAAATAATTTTTATAAATAAAAATATAATAAAAAAAGTAATAAAATAAATAAGTATTTAATAAATATACGGCTTTTATAACCGTGTTTAATAATATAAAGTTATAATATTTTTTTAATTAATTAAAATTAAACTTTTATAAAAGTTTTATTATTTTAATAATATAATTTAAATTCGAATGCGTATTTTTTAATTAATCGAAATATTTATCGATAAATCCCCACGTTTTCGAAATTAAGCTTAAATAATTAAGTATATAAATATTATTTACGTTATATAGAACCGGAAAAACGCCGGTAAAACGTATATATATTATTTTATATATATTAAATAAAAAATTAAATACCGTAATTTAAATTTTTAAACCCGATTTTAAAATTTATATTTTTTCGTAATATTAAATTTTTAATTAATTATTTTATATTTAAAACATTTTTAAAAGTTTAATAATTAAAATAATTTAATTATTTTTATAACGCATTTTTAAATAAACTTAATTATATTAAAATTAATAAAAAATTAAATCGAAGTTTTATAATCGAAATTAAATTAAGTTAAAATTAATTTAAATTAATCGAAGTAATAATTAATTTTTAACCTTAAATATTATAATTAAATAAAAATTTAAAAGTTAAAAAAAAAATAACATATAATTTAAATTAAGCACTTTTAATTAAACTAAATTAAAAAAATTAAAACATTAAATTAATTAAATTATAAATAATTAAAATTAATCGAATATATAATAAGATTTTAATATAATTTAAAACGTATTCGAATTAACGTTAAACTTTTTTTTAATATAACGCGCATATTAATTAAAATTATATAACGTAAATAATATTTATTAATTATAAATATTTTAATATTTAATTATTTACTTTTTTTAATTTTTAACGAATATATAAAATTTACATTATTTTTAAAAAAAAGAAAAAAAATTTTACATTATATAAAATAATTTATTTAATTTAATTTAATTTAACTTATAATAATATATTTTATTATATTATTATTAATTCGTAACGTTATTTATAATATTTAAAATAAAAGTTAAAAATGTTTATATAATAATTATAATTATATATATAGTTTTAAACTTAATTTAATTTAATTTTAAACGGTATAATTTTTATTTATATAAAACTTTTTTTATTATATATATATTAAAAAGTTTTAACTTAAATATTTAAAAAATTATTTAATAATAATTTTTAAAATTATTTTTATTATAAAAATATTATTTATATAATAATTATTTTAAATTTATATATATTTTATACATTTTTTTAAATATATTAATTACATTAAACTTAAGTTATTTTTTTTTATAAGTTAAAAATATAAAAATAAATATTTAAGTATAATTAATATAATATAACGCGTGGAATTTTTATTATTTATTTTTATAAAAATGTTTTTTTAAATAACTTTTTTTAAAACTTTATTTATTTAAGTTATTAATTTAAATATTATTTTTTTAAATTCTC